ACTCTACGCTTGCCCTTGTTGAATTTCATAAAATTTTGCCCCACCCAACTCTCCCACCTGTCCAGGTCTCGCTGGACGGCAGCACAGCCTTCTGGTGTGTCAGCTGCTCCTCTCAGTTTTGTGTTATCAGCAAATCTGCTGACAGTGCTCTCTGTTCCCTCATTCAGGTCACTGATGAATATACGGAATAGCACTGGTCCCAGTACCGACCTCTGAGGGACTCCACTAGATACAGGCCTCCAACTAGATTCTGTCCCATTGACCACAATTCTCTGACTTCCTCCCTTCAACCAGTTCACAGTCCACCTCACTACCCAAGACCACACTTCCTCAGTTTAGCTAGGAGGATGCTGTGGGAGACAGTGTCAAATGCTTTAGTGAAATCCAGATAAACCATGTCCACTGCACTGCCATCATCTATCCAGCTGGTTATGTCCTCATAAAAGTACTGTTGCCACTACACTACTCCTCACGGATATCATCATAGCAGTTTTCCTGCCTGGACTGCCTCATGTCAGAAAAGAAACGCTACTGTTATTGCTAACATCAAGCTTCTTGAACAGATCCTTCTGGAGGATGTGCTGAAGCCCATGCAGGACACCAGGTCTTTGGTGTTGTGCTCCTTACCTATTGCAGGAACAACCTGGTTCTTCAACTCTTCAGAAGCGTAAGGGCACACTGCCTGCAAAAATGATTGCCTGAGCTGGGAAATCATAACACTTGTCTTTCCACAGTGCCAGTCTCCAGCAATACTCCTCAATTAGCCATCTAATTAGTGGTGTGATCTAGTTAGTAAGAAAGGAAATTATATAAAAGGAATATAAAGTACATTTATATTGGAGGTTCAAACCAAGGCTGAACACTAAAAGTGTGTAAAAAATCCTGAATTTCACGAATTTTAAATGGGGCATAATTTCACCTATTGGCAAGAAGACAGTTAAGTGATACAAAGACAGTGAGTATCAGTGGGACTTGATGACCTTACCTGGTAAGAACCTAAAGCCTACTCAGAAATGCCAGTCATTTGCTCCAATACCAAACTCTGCTATTCACCCTGAAGACCACAAACTCTACATTTATTTAAAATGTACATTCAAATTCAAATAGCCTCTGTTTTCATAGTCTGAAATGTGGCGCAGCCAGTATTTAGGCACTACAGGGAGCCAAGCTCCCCGAGGTGCTCAGGAATGCATTTCAGTATGAACTGAGGAAATGAAGGACTTGCTAAAAAAGCTTTATAATTGTGCTCAAGGTTTACATATCTAAAGTGATTATCAAATATGAAAAAAAAAAATTCCTTTTTTACAGAATCCACTGGAGTACAGAGTAACTTGAATATTATGAAAAAGATTCTCCTGATTTCTTCCGGCATTGTTTTTTGTTTGTTTCGGTAACAGCTATGCGAGCAGAGGAAATTCTCTAAAAAATAATGTGGCTTTTTTTTTTTTTTAAACATCACTCATATAATGAATAATAATCAAGATCTATTTTAGAAAAAGGGATTAAAAAATAGGTTTGTAACTGACAACATGCCATGTATTAAGTTTCAATCTAGAGAAAATGTTCACAGCTAAGTTAAAACCATTTAAAATAGAAATTTTATAATATAAAATTGATGCTGCAATAAATATTCTTTAGCATAACACAAGCTTTGATTAAACGCAAGGATTCAACCTGTATTGCAAATGCAGAAAAGCCAATTAAGGAATTTGTTAACAGTAACAATGCCTAAAAAATAAATGCAGTATTTTATTCAATCAACTAGCATATTTTGCTTAACAAAAACCATTTAATTTAAAACAATGTCATAGTAAGGGGATCTCATCTTTGAGCATGATGCAAGAAAATAGAGAATTACAGTTCCCCATTTTTTGAATTTACACAGAGAGAAAAAAATACATGGCTATAGACGATTGTGCAGTAAAATTTATTTCTACCAGAAATTGAATGACCCATAACTCATGAGTGGCAGAGTCTCCAGTGAGTTATGGAGGTCATTCTTTCATGTGAGGAAATGAATTGCATTCATTATACCTTGCCCCACATTTATATGTTTTGTTATTAGCACACCAGATGGGATTTTAATTTTGTATTGCTTACTTGTTCCTTTTTACTTGTCGAACTAGATATCAATGTGAACTGTGTTAGGCAAAGGCATTGATAGTAAAGCCTGTGCCTGATCCTGTGGTTTACTCCTACGTGACATCCTTACCTCGTAAAAAGCAGTCTTGCTTTAGTGCTTGTCTTCACATTATTTGGGAGAGCTTGAAACACAGAAACATGACTAGCAGGACTGGGTTTATAATTGTTGAGTGTCCAACCAGAGAGACAAAACACACACTTAGATATACAGCAACATACCTTAGATATGTGGAAGGCTGACCCAGCAGGGAAGAAACTGGTTTAAGTTTTGTTTGATTTCTTTTGTTTGGCTTGTTCAGCTCAGCTGAATTTATTTTGTGTCTACTTTCAGTGGGTTGGGCCATTAGAGGCTACTGCTTTACAGATTAAACATTACCATACTACTGTAAATCCTACCTGAAAATGCCCTAAAATAGACCTATTGGTTTATATTTGTGGGGCAGTCAGTATTACTATGATGAAGAAATCAGGCATAAGGTGCAACAACTGTACAAAGCAGTGCCTTCTTGACCATCAGAGCCCCCTGTCTTATGGTCAAGAAATTTTTCCGTTTTTACAAGTGAAAAAACAAGGCACACACTTACTTGGATGGTTACTACAGGACAAATGCAATAAGAGCAAGCCTCGGGCTACTACTAGTCCAGTGACTCTTTTGTGTGTTTTTTTCACAAGAACAGCCTTCCTATCGCTGGACGGGAGAGCAGCTCAAGCAGATCATACACCTGAACCCATTCTGCTCTCAGCCAGAGCTGCAGCGCAGCAGGGTGGGATGCGCGGCGAGCCCAACGCCATGGGCATACACAGGTCCATCCCAGCACACGGAATTGCTCGTTCTGTTTATTATCAGAAGCGTGGGCAATGAAGAGAACTTGGCTTGAAAATCCCGGATCACCTCCCACCGACATTTGCCTCCCTGTGCTGACTGCTAAAAGGATCCTGAAATTATCCTTTGAGAACCACTGTCCAAGCAGTTTATGGCTGAGGCC